CTGTGTCCGATTTGAGCTCAAGTTGGATGAGTTACGCGTAGTAAATTTAGGTATTATAAGTTAGGTAGGTATTATAAGGCTAGTAAATGACGAATTTCCCTTGTTTATTGAAGTCACACTCCTTCCCTTTATCTACTCCTGATATGATGAAAGTAAGCACTGCCAGGAACTATTCATCAAACAGACAATGATTATGGACCTAGTTATAAGAATAAAAAGTACCATAACCTATAATTGGTATACTTCATTCGACAAGTTGGGTCAAGTGCAAAGCTCTAATCGTGTAGCCCTTAATTCACTCTGTCACAGAGCTATACAATAATGCATGATGGAACCTGGTTTGGAATAGAGTGTACCCTTTCACTGGCGCACTACTACAGTACACAATTTGTTATCCGAAACCCTTGGGGCTAGACACGTTTTGCAATTCGAAATTTTTCGGATTTTGGAATGGTAGTAGTAGTACAGTACAGATATACATACCAGGCCTCGACGCTTATTTTCAGATCTGGAAGAAGCAATTTTTACTGGTCCAAAGTTTACTTGCAATCTAGAGCCATTAAGGTACATTTTTAGTTCAGTGCATATCATATTACAGTATATACATGGGAAATCGTAATGAAATTCACACAACGTTTATTTTTGCGTGCTGATTGCAGCTTTTGCCTCAATTCCAGGAAACAGTTTTGCTGGCACTCTCTCATACCAGCAGTTTCCACCCCCTACATATTCAGTAATGAACATGCCCCATGCGACTGAAACAATCGGTGCACTCCCCCCGTACTTCAATCGATGCCGCCCCAGCCAGCAAGCACGTACGCAGCCACGATGTGCACAGCCACAGACACGGGTGTTGCAGTGCGATAGCGCCCTGGCTATAAGGATGTTAGGAATCTGACACAACTGGAAATTTTTTAGTTGCCCGAGATCCAAGAGAATAACTTGTCCGACGTAGATTTTCATTTGTCCCAGGCAATCGGACAACCGTTAGTGTCAAGGGCTGCATACCGTATATCCTGCAACTAGCCAGTACTAAAACACATGTTTTCAAGAGGCCAAGTGCTGTACCGGCAGTGTTCGAAATTCACGTCGGCCCGTCGGCCCGCCACCGACAGTTTCGATGCCGAGCCTACAGCTTCTTGATAAAACAGGCCCGCTGATCCTACAGCTATTTGATCACCGAAAATTCGAAACACTGAGAAACTGTTACATGTAGAAATCTGTTCATGAATGCATATTAACTTCCAGGGGTATTTATTTAAAAACTAATCCGTGATAAACCGTGACATACATGTAAACAATGCGTTCGCCCACTGCATATTCGCGCAGCCTGATTGTAAATGAAAGAGCGATAGCCTGGAACCCTGTTCCAAGCTGCGCACCACTGTGTAGTAAACTAAAGGACAAGTTGCCAGTCGAGTGCGGAATTAGCTGCGAGTAACATGAAATCGTTTCTCATTGGTGGATGACCGTGGGTCTGGTCTGAGCAAGTATCTCAGATTTAGACCAATCGACAGGACTGTAAGATCGACATGTGGTTAGACTGGTGTACGTATGACGGCTCCACTCGCAATGTTATGAGACTGCTACGTTGCTACCGATGTGTACCAGACTACCAGTCTGTTTCTCTGCTGTCAAAGTGGAGAGTCGTAGTTACCAAGGAGCTACATATAACCACGATGTGGCGTTTCCTTACTTGTGAGCCCCCGGCAAAGAAGCATATATATAAACAGTCATCCGACGAGCGGAAAGAAAAACAGAGGGATTATGATTATGGACATTGATAATGACTAATAAACACAAGGACGAACATGATATGCTGTTTTATTACTGTAATTTGCTCCAAAATTGGCGGGCCTACAGCTTTGCTGGCGGATCTGCAGCTTTTAGGAGCTATAGGCCCTGCAGGCCTACAGCTTTTTCTGCTAAGTGGCAAACACTGTGTACAATATGTATGAGTAATGCCAAACACATTAATATTTCTGCAGTGAACCTTGTGCAGCAAAACGTGAGCTTTGGTGTGCAGTCGATTGTAAAAAAGGAGAGAAAAAATATGGTTTTCGGAGCTTAAATTCAGTTTTCAGAATTTCGGATAATAGATAGTGAACTATATTTCAATTAAAATATTGGTGTGAGTGTTGCTTGAGCGATCATTTGCATTCAATAAACCGAACAATTTGGCCACATTAACAGTCTTCGAATTTAGTCAGGCTTCTGACAGTCCGTGTCGTGTAAAAATCTCGGCCCAAGGATATAAGAGCTGTCCACATTTGCCCATGTCGCACATTGCAAAAATGAATTCGGGACAGCTCTTTAACTCTCTAGAGACTGCACATTTCCGCTTCAAAATTTGCCAAATTCCGTTCCGGAGATTACTAAAGTCCACTTCAATTCCTTTTCAGCAAATTTCTACATTTTAATTCAGAAATAATTAAAATTAAGAGAAAACACTGATGGATGCCTGTTTTTTTTTATGTTTGTAATTTTTTTTTTATCTGTCATTTCTTTTGGAGGGTTAAAGTCATGAATGTAAGATAAGTTTTTATAATCTTTTTGTGTGTGTTTGGAGTGATTTGAGCTGTTTTAAGTTATTTTTGTGTTTTGGGAGGTTATTTTTGGTGAAACTGGTGATTCCGTTTCAGAGGGGGTGATTCCGTGATTTCCGTCCATTTTCCGTTTTCATGGAAATGTGCAGTCTCTACTCTTATATCCTTGAACCAAAATTTCAGCAAGCACGTAAACATTGCAAGCTCACTTGGCCAACGGGCATCCTGCTTTAAAAATGCATAAACTATAATACAGTGGTGTGATTGCTGGGGTTTGAAAAAAACTGAAACACAGCCCGGGGGGCACAGATGTTTGCAGTGAAATTTATTTTATTTAATTAGTCTCATAAAATAGGGTATAACTTGGTAAGTAGGCAGTGCCCTGCAGCACCCAGTTACCGCAAGCAAGCCAGAGGTTTAATGATTCATTTGCATTGTAATATTACATGACATTTGGATTCTGAACCTACTGTACATTTTTCTATAGCAAGAGTTTGGAACAGCCTTTCAGTGTATGACTGTTCTTTAGGCTTAGATGCACAATATAGCATTGCAGTAGTTAAGTGGGTTGGTTTGACATGTTTAATAAATACAGTAAGGGCCCAGTCACACCAGGGCCCCGATCTCACTACGCTCGTACTACGCTCTAAGAGCGTGGTGGAAACGTGTAGAACGCAGTGTGGACGTATATAGACGTACT